AGATGTTTCATAAATCTACTGTAGTTCCAGGTTTATTCTCACATACAACAATACAAAGTCACAGGAAAAGCAAACAAGCAGTTTTTTTCACATTAATCAACTTTATTATTTATTTCACAATATAAACTATAATTAGTAAGAAACTATATATAAATCTATATAAAGAGAAAAGACATCTTATGACACCCCAGTTTTATCCACATAAAAAAGCCTTCAATCAAACTGCATTTACATATTACAAATCATCAAGCTCAAGCCCTGGGATAATTATTAGAGTGATAACTGCTGAAGTATAACTTGATATTTTATAAATAAAAGTTGCTGCAGAGACTGTAAATATACCAGATTGCATTATTCTTTTTTAGATTGCATTATCCTTTTTTAAAATATAAAGTACTTACACCTTGAACAGTGAATTGTATACACTGGGTACAAAATTGGAAATGTATCTTAAGCTACTAATGACAACACAATTAAGCAAACTAAGTCTTACATCATTTACAATTCAGCGGAAGACAAAAAAACATGCTTGAGAGTCAAGTGTTTTTCCTGCAAAAAAAAAATCACAGTACTTTTTTTTACAGTTTATTGATGAATTACTGATATGGAATACCACTGAAGGCTGGGCTCAGGCTGAGGTTTCTGGGAGGTGTTAATGTTAATGCAAATCAGGTGCCCATTTTCCTCAGTCTGGCCTGGTGGAATCATCCCGATGAATGCCATCGGATCTCCACCCGAACATATGAAATGATCATTTATCTCAAGGAAGCAAGTTAATCCTTTAGTGCTTAACACACGCACACTGGTCAAGTATTTTTTCCCCCAGTGATTAATCTCAAAAGGCCAGTCAAAAATGGGCGTGGCAAGTAGAAGGTTCTAGACCATGTGACTTGGGAAATAACCATGACATAAAAACAGCCTGTTGCAGCTGATGATCATTGATTTTTTTAATTCAGCTGAAACTAAAACTGTGCAATTCACCACACTGAAAATGCAGAAAATTTGCAGTGCAGAAGAGACCTGAAGATGCCATGATAACAATGGTCTCTAAATTGTCAGATACCACTTTCCCCTTTATCGCCATAATACCATGCATCCTCAATATTATGGGATATTTCACAACGGTCTCTTAACCTTTCAATCTCCTTTCAGTTCCATTAAGTGAAACAGAGTATGCACCTCACCAAACATTTGCTTGGAAAGAGTCTATCAAAACGTGCTGTAACATCACAAATACTACTGCTGCTGTGCAATACAGAAAGGCTAACATTTCCCTCAACAGTGGAGGAGAAGAAAAAAACGAATGATATTTCTTACATGATATTGTACGCTTCAATTAAAACCCTACATCCATTCCTGAAACACGATACTTTGTTTAAAAAGAGCGAATCAGATACGTTTCTGCTGTTCTGAGAATAGGGGCCTGACCTGCTAAGGACTAGGATTATTGTACACTGACGGCTAGAAATAGTGCAATAAGTCTGAACAGGCACAGAGAACACCAAAGAAGCCATGCAAAATAGACCCCAAAGAGAATGTTCCTTATACCTTCTGGAAATGATCATTTAAACCCTGCTGTGATTCGGTAAAGCTCCCAAACTCAAAGAGGAATCAGAAGTTCAAAACATCACATAGCCAGGAAATTAATAAACACAAGAACAAATGTCAAAAAAATATTCAAGATGTCCTTTCTCCAGCACTAATGGCATAAAAACGTTTAACCCCATGTCTAGACCAGGAAAATAATGTAGACGTATCATATACTATCATCATCCACTGCACTTAACATATTTGGGGTGCAATGTTAGTTTTTCAATATTTTCTAAAATATTTCCCCCAGCAAATTTTCTTTCCCTGCAGCCTCCCAGACATGTTTTGCATAGCAAACAAATCCTTGGCTCTCAGTACATTCTTTAAAAGAGCAATTACTGGGAATGTTTTACTCTTGAAAAGAAAAAAAATAAATAAGTGAGCTTCAAATAGAAAGTAACCTGGAGGAATTAAACCGTCAAAACATGGATATTGCTGTATTGACCACTATAAATATCCAGCTGCAGGACAATACCATTCATCATCTTTTGAAAATGGAATTTCCTCTAAATACATTTACCATGTGCCTTGCATTTCTTTTTCCCTGACTTATTTATTGGATATCTGAGCACTGATTATTTTTTGCAAGCTAATCACCACATCAGCAGTAAAACTGAGGTTCATCATTTCAATTCTGTAATCTGATTCTTCCCTCTTAAAACTGATTATGCTTTTCAGGCATCTGATGGTTCGGTTAAAATAAGGCCAAGGCCAACCATTTTGGAAAGAAAGTGACCGAGGCAGTTTCCATTCAGTCAAATCAAGTTCCGAGATGGGCTCTGAGCTTTTCCAATTCAGATGCAAGTTATACCAGTGCAAATTTGTGCTTAAATATTCACCCTTTGTGCTCACTGCTTAAATATTCCACTGCAGAGAAGCTCCATCACGCACCCAGAGAAGTTTAAACTAAGTTGGCAATGGAATCACTTCACTAACTTTCAACTAACAATTCACTAACCATCCTTCATCCGACTTGGAGTGATTGGTGGAACTTTAGAAAAGTTGACTCTTGTAACCCTGACCCTGTTGTGCGAGGGAGATCAGTAAAAACATAGTACAAGATGGAAATTCGTCACCCTCCTAAAAGAAACCATCAAGAATAAACCCTTTTAGAAGCATGCAGAAAGATCCCGGATTAAAAGTGAGTCAACCAAGTAAAGGCGTGAGCTTGAGAAAAAGGAAAACACAAAGACAAAACTAATGGCACGTTATGAAAAGGGGGTTGCTCAAGGGACTCCAATGCAACTCGCAGTCCAAAACCGTGGCTCAAAATGGCCACTAGGCATAATCATTCCACCCATCCATTCCAAGAGCAGACCGGTGCGCCGATGAAGCGTCTGTGACTGCCCGCACTCAAGCCCTCCGCCGCCAGGCTGGGGATCACATGCAGTCTGCCACGCTGCTGGAACCCTGGCCCACGTCTCGAACCTGGCTGACGAGCGCGGCGCACACGGCCACGCCCGCCCCCGCGCGGCAGTGGGACACCGAGCCCACCAGCTCCCACCTGCGGGGAGAGAGCCGCACAGCGCAAGGGGCGTGACACACGGCCCCGCTCCCCTCTGCAGACGCTCGCACTGGGCGCGCGTGAGCACATAGGGTTAAGTGCCGGGTTCGGCCACTCCTCTCAAATGAAAATTTCAGAAAAAAAGACCACGACAGCTTCAGTGCAAGAGCCATCATTCGGTCAAATCTGCTCGGTGCATTAACAGCTTGCTGTTTGCAAAAGGAGCTTTCTTGCCAAATTTGTCTGCATTCCAGTGTTTGACAGTAAGATGTTTCATTGCCTGCTTAAAACAGTTCATTTCTTTATTGATTGTATACTGCAGTGAATATTATTTTCTAAACATTCTTCTGCTGCTTCGGCATCAATGCCTTGAATGGTACAGTATGTACTCTATTATGAATTTGTGAGTCACATTTAAGACATTTAAGGAGTTTTCAGCCGAGTGATTCCCATGAGCTTAATAAATGGCTTAAAAATTTAAAACATTGGATAAACATCAAAACCTCCATCTACAGAACCAGATGAGTGACAATACTTATAGATGGGGGGGCAAACATTCTGAATTCTTCACTGTGTTTTCAGCCTACATATATAAATCTATACATATGCACGGGTTTAATCCTATCCACAAAATGCTACGGAGAGGGAATTTTATTTATTCTTTTTTTATCAACTTCCTCAACATTTTAAAAACACCCCCAGCTCTTCGCAATAGCTGTACTGATATTCTTTTCATTACAAAAAAAAAAGAAGACGTACTGTACAGCGCTAGGGGGTCGGATGTACTATAAACTCACAAGCGCCGGCCTGCGCAGTACCGTCTCTCCATACCTGTTCATCACGGGATCGAAAGCCTCCACTGTATTCAGGTAGATGTTTCCATTGTGGCCGCCGACGGCGAAGATTTTGCCCATGAGCGAGGCCACGCCCACCCCTCCCCGGGGCGTGGTCAGCTCCGCCACGTACTCCCAGCGGCGAGCGCGAGGGTCGAAGCGCTCCACGGAGCTCAGCGGGGAGTTGTCGTCAAAGCCGCCTGCAGAGACGCCGGGGGATTGGCAACGTGGCGGGAGGCGACGACCTCGCCTCCGCGCCCTCGGGCTCGTCCTGCCCTGCGGCACTCCCCCCCCGCGTGACATCTCTCGGTGCCACACAGACACCGAGAGCACGGGGACGCGCTTTC